TGCAGAAATCCATAGCAATCAATTCTACCGGTTTGCTGGAATCAGCTACATAAACGGTAAATTTTGATTGGTCGCTCTGGGTACATTGTGCTAAGTCTTGGGAAATAAGCTCACTGGTATATCATAAAGAGTGTGTATTGTGTATATCCTATGGTACAAATGTGTTTCAATGCACCCTATATTTTTATATTCAGCCACGTTTGCTCTTTTGTCATATTTTTATTCTGTTATTAAACATTTTTATACTATCATACTTTTTATGTTGCTTTTTATTAAAATGAGATATGTCAGGTGTGTATTTTTTTAGAAGCAAAGACTATAATGTAGATTATGTAGCCAATCCCACAATTAGCTGTACAAGGGGGGGGGTGTACTACTGACATTGTGCTGCCAGATATTCAATAGTTCACAAACCAGATGCGTTCATGTTACTGTGATCAGTATTAGACACTGTAGGGCAGGGGTGGGCAACTCCAGGCTTCCAACTTTTGTGGAACAAGTCTCGTAGGAAGAATTGCAAGAATGCAAGAATGACAGCTACAGGCATGACTCGCAGAGGCATGTTGGTATTTGTAAAATATACAGTGTTCACCATAAATGAGTACACCCGTTTGAACAGTAAGATTTTAATCAGTATCTCAGTGAACACAAGAACAATTTCCCGAATTTTGACAAAACCGAATTTCATAGAACATTGCCGTCCGCCCGTTGTAAAAAAACGGACAGACGGCACTGCAGCATTGGCGGGTTGCCAGCTTCACCTAATATGAGTAAAACTGAATACACCCTACAACAAAACTACTACATCTAGTATTTTGTGTGACCTCCATGATTTATAAGGACAGCACCAAGTCATCTAGGCATGGAAGGCATGGAACGTATAAGACGAGTATAGCCCAAAATAATGTTTAAATGCACCCACTAACATCCATGGCGGTAATCCCGAGTGTGGCTCGGGGTTAATTTTCAGTACCATAAGCGGTAACCCCGAGCCACACTCAGGATTACAGTATCTTAACTTGTCCACGATCCCCACTGTGTCCTCCGTCTTCCGCTGAGTCAATCACGGCAGGCTTTGTATTAATGAATACAGGCTTTGTATTCATTAATACAAAGCCTGCAGTGATTGGCTCAGCGTGGTATACTGTATGTAGCCGAAGCTACATACAGTATACCCTATCCTTCCGTATGTTCCGTATAAGACGACCCCCGATTTTCGGGGGATGTTTTAAGGTCTCAAAACCCGTCTTATACGCCGGCAAATACGGTATCTTTTTCCATTCTCCAACAATTACCTCTTTTAGAGGCTGGATGGAGAGTGATACTCAACTTGTGTCTTCAGAATGCCCCATAGGTGTTCGATTGGGTTCAGATCAGGAGACATGCTTGGCCACTCACTCTGTTCTTCTTCAGAAAAGCTACAGTGTCCAAAAGACTATACTTTCCCTGCCCCCAAGCATAGATGGCTTTCCTAATGAATATTTTGCATCCTTTCACACTACACTGACCCCACATCTGACAGCCCTTTTCAACAGAGCCAGGGACATGGGCACTCTACCGAAAGAGATGCTTCAAAAGCATGATTGTACCACTGCCTAAAGGGGGAAAAGATTTATCCTTCCCTGGTAGCTACAGACCCATTTCTTTGATTAACACTGATATAAAGATCTTTGCTAAAGTGCTGGCCAATGGATTATTGCCCATACTCCCGGAGCTTATACACCACGGATCAGGTGGGCTTTGTGAAAGATCGCCAAGCCCCTGTGGGCACGAGGAGGCTGTTTAACATCCTGAGACATGTGGAACTTACTAAAGCAAGCACTATTTTATTATCGCCAGATGCCGAGAAGGCTTTTGATAGGGTCCACTGGGGATACCTAAGGGCTACCTTGGTGAAATTTGGTTTTGCAGGCCCAATGTTGAACGCAATGTTATCTCTCTACTACAACCCCTCCGCTAAAATAAATGCGGCAGGACACCTGTCGGAAGCCTTTCCTATCACGAATGGAACTGATGGTTTCAAAACAGTATGGCGTCGCAAATGTGAGGAGTAGAAAGAAAAATGCATGGTGCCTACAGTGAAACATGGTGGTGGCAGTGTCCTTCTGTGGGGCTGCATGAGTGCTGCTGGTGTTGTGGAGCTGCAATTCATTGATGGTATCATGAATTCACAGATGTACTGCTCTATATTGAAAGAGAAGATGCTACCATCACTCCATGCCCTTGGTCGTCGTGCACTTTTCCAACATGACAATGATCCAAAACACACATCTAAGGCCACTGTTGTATTTCTCTTTCAAATGTTTTATTGAAGTTTTTCAGAAAGTAGTAGGCGATAAACAATAAGGAAATCATAAATACCTAAAAATTGTCAAAAGAAATGTCACAATCAATAGGTCAGCAATCAAGACACTTGAATCATTAGTATTTGTACATAGGGTAATGAGAAATGAGAAGGGCACCTCCCTGAAATGAGAGGGGCACCTTCCTGAAATTGCTTTTTTCAGGTTGGGATCTCTGCAAAAGTGATACAAAAATGTAACAAAGATGGAACTGCAAACATCTCACAGAAACGTCCAGGCCGTCCACAGAAGTTACCAACTCGACAGGAGCGTCTTCTGATGAGACGGGTTGAATAAAATCGCCATGCAAGTTCACTGCAGTTAGCTAAAGAAGTAGAAAGTCAAACTGGGGTGATTGTTTTCCGTGACACAATACGGTGTACACTGCAGAGGAATGCATCGGTGTCGTCCACAAAGGAAACCTCTCCTAAAGCCCATGCACAAAAAAGCCTGCCTACAATTTGCCAGGGACCATGCTGAAAAAGAAGATGACTACTGGGACTCTGTACCCTGGAGTGATGACATTCTCATTTCAGGAAGGTGCCCCTCTCATTTCAGGGAGGTGCCCTTCTCATTTCAGGGAGGTGCCCTTCTCATTTCAGGGAGGTGCCCTTCTCACAGCATAGGAATGCATAGCTTGATTGCTATTGGCTATTTCAATTTGCAATATCCAATAGCACGCTGGCTATTGCACCCGCCCTCTGCTGCTGTCAATCACTAGAAGAGGACCTGATTGACAGCAGCAGTGGGCGGGTGCAATAGCTAGTTTGCTATTGCAAAATGAACTAGCCAATAGGAATATAGCTATGGATTCCTATGCTGGTTTTTTTTCTTCTTCTGACTGACGGTGGCCGGCTTCTCCTATGTCAGAAAAGGAAGAAAAAAAACCTTCACGTGAGAAAGTGTTTCTCTCCCGGACGGCCGGGAGCCGCTATCTAATAGCGGGAGACTCCCAGAGCATCCGGGAGAGTTGGAATGTCTGTATAAACCCGATCTCCTATAGGGAAATCTCAAACCTAAAAACCAAAAATAGCTGCAGTGTTAACAGTGGAAAAACATAAAAACTACTGTTCACATCAGCCCCCCCCCCATATGTAATCCTCAACTGACGTGTTTAGGCAAGTTCATTTGTTATGCACCCTTGTGTAGATCACACTTCCGCACCCACCTGAAGGTTTGACCAGCCATATCGTGGTCAATAATCACTCTAAAGTTGTACACAGGAGTCGTATCCCCTTTGTTCTATGGATACTGGAAACTTTTCCTTCACCGCTGGTTCTGCATCCTTTTTTTATGTCACTTTCAATCCTCTTGGTACTCAATCCAAAATCACCGCCCTATTAGAGTTTAAAAGCAACACGCACATGCTCCCCATAGTGTAACCTTCATTAAAATACCTTTATTTCTCTTTTCTTTCCCAGTCTTCTGGCAGTGGCCATGTTTAATAAGGGCCGATCACTAGGTCTCCTTTTACTTCCCGGATTTCTGGCACATGTGACAAGACATATGACTAGGACATGTGACCATGCACATCATCTCAGGGGAGGAAAATGCCTTTTCCTGAGATCTGGTGAGATTACAGATGAGATATCCCAGCAATGCTCTGCTGATGAAAAGGCAATCCCAGTGTGTATGGTGTTGGCAAACTGAAGTGATTTGCACTTTCAAAGCAGGAAGCGAATGCTCTGCAAGTGTAAGTATTTCACAATCACAGCATTTTACACCTGATATGTTTATGTTATTATTAATCTTCATACATAGAGGGATGCATGGGTAGAATTAGATTTTTGAGTGTAAAGGTGTAATTGGAGTTATTGTGCGAGGGGGACTTCAGTGTCCATCATGCCCCCTGAATACCTCCTCCTCTCTTCCCTCCCTATTCTTCCTTCCTACCCTTGGACCATGTTGCTTCTTTCATGTCATTCACCCACTTTTGCTCTGTTACACTGGCCATACACCAGCAGCATTTGGTTTGGGTAAATTCCTTTTTCGTATAGTTTGTTCAATTTCCTAATAGTTAATGGACTCATTGACAATCAATTCCAACCATAATGAAGAAAAAAGGAGCAGGATGAAAAAGTTTCTCCAATGAATGAAATTCTAACAATGAATGTGGTTTTCGTTTGGGAAACTACATTCATTCCAAAATCGAATGTTAAAGTCAAACAAAATTTCAAACAACATTCATGTCTCTCTGGAGTGTTCTGATGAGATTTACTGTGTTTGAATGTTCGTACCATAATCTATCTGTCATTATGATTCTCCTCACTGCTCCATCCTAAACCTACGGTATGCCATGTTTATGCAGAATAACCCTTTCTCCCTGTGGAAAATGCCTAGCAATTCATAATTTTAGACAAAGTGCCATTTTTATTTCTTGTTATTGGAGCCTTCTTATTGCTCTTTGTACAGGCTGTCATGTGTACTAGGTGCGGAACGAAAACCCCAATAAAAATGTATTGGATAAAAATTGTACGTTTATATTTTAGTTCTGGGGTTTCGCAATGCGATATGCACGCTTGATTTGTAATGGATACAAGTAATTATGATTAATGATGGCCATTATTCAGCAGTGGACAGCTCCTTAATGTTGGGACACCAATGAAGCTTGGAACCTTTCTGCTCAAGGATTAGTTCCCGGCGGGAGTTGCACACAGTCTAATGTTGTGCTGGTGTTGAGTTGCTAGGCAACATGTAAGTCATCGGATGACGGCGGCCTTGGGCGGGAAAGCTAGAGTGACGGCTGGAGCCGTGTTGTACGGAGCAGTCCCGGCGGCTCTGCCCTGTGTGAGCCCTCCTGCCATGGCCGCCCCTCAGGATGCGGCGGTGACGGTTAGCGGCTCGGTCCAGAAATTCGTCACCAAGAAGAAGAAGGTGCTGAATACGGAGGAGGCTGAGCTGTACGAGCTGGCGCAGGCGGCCGGGATTATCATGGACCAGGAGGTCTTTAAGTGAGTGGAGGCCTCCGCCTGACTACACTGACCGAGGCTATTATTACTGTCGTGGCGTGTTTACTTCCCTATGCTGTATAGAAGGCACAGTGCAAATTCTGCTCCTTCCCTCGCACTGTTATATTTACATATAGGAACCCTTCTCTCATTTTATTATCATTAAAGTGTATCTATACCCAAAACCAGAAATAAAATATAATGAAGCTTAACAGTCCTTACATCAGGTGGCTGCTGCATTAGTTTTCTTTTTTTCCTTTTTATTTTTTATCTGCTAGTAACACAGTTCCTGTGCTAGGATAACAACAGCACAGCAGAAACAAGAGAGAGGAATACATAACCCCACCCCTTTTCTATTCCCCATAACCCATGTTGCCCAATACACACCCCACCAGACTCCCATGCGCGGCCCGCTAAGTGGTCGGCACTAGCTAAACAACAGCTTTTGTTCCTGCCACCGACCGTAGTACCAGGACAGGGAAATGTAAACATTGACTAGCAGATGCCGGTGTGCTGCCTTGCTTGTTGTTACCTTCACAATGGCTTCCTAAGTGCCGGGCATATCCTAGCATCAGAGACTTCCATTCAAAGCTTAAAACTGTAGGTGTAGGCAATCGGCTGCACGGCCCTGCTCACATGGGAAGGAGGTGATTGGCTTGTTGCACAGTCCTGCTCACATGGGAGGGAGGTGATTGGCTTGCTGCACAGTCCTGCTCACATGCCAGATAATCCACACATTGATGATCATCATCAGGTGCTGCAGGGATGAGATGCTGTGATGGGCTACCTTTCTTTCCTCTCCCTCTCTCCATTCATTAAAAGTCTTGTACTATTTTCACAGCATACAAAGCGTTCTGTGAATGGATGAGAGGAGAGGATGGGCAGATGAATGACAGGATCTCCCCTCCTACGTTCACAGAACATCTTGTATTCTCTTAAAAGAATACAATGCTTTTTGTGAAAGGACAAATCGAGAGTGAAAGGGAGAGCAAATAAGGGGTGCCTTTTGGTGAAGTTTATAAAGGATGGGGATGTAAAACCTCCAGTCCCCATGTTTAGGATATGTCCTTGAAAATGAAAGCTGAACTCGAGGTATAAATATTTGTGTACTTACAGTGGTCCAGCTTGGAACAGTGTGAGTATACACAGCGATCTAATGGGTTTTGTACTTCCACTGTGCTGCCTCTCATCCAACCAGAGAACACAAAGGGTTTTGTGAATGGACAAATTAAGAGGAAAGAGAGGTATATGCATGCACGCAATGATAGATGAGTATGTATATGAAGTCAGCTACAGCAATATATGTTTTGTAAACTTTTCGCATCTACTAACCAGAGACAGATTTCATCTGCCATTTTTCCAGTGCAGGTTAGAAAACTAAAGAATGGATATTGGTGGTTGACATAGGCAGAAAAGATACTTCCCTTTTATTATTCTTATATAGGAGCTCATTGGAAAGTTATTTTAATTCTTTGAAGACCATTTTGTGGAGTAAATATGTTTTTATTCATTTATTTTATTATTTATTACAGGTATTTATGTAGCTCTGACAATTTACACTGCTCCTTACATATTATACATTCACATCAGTCCCTGCCCTCAAAGAGCTTACATTCTAAGGTCCCTGTTGCACACACCTACCCTACCTGTGTGTCTTTGATGTATGGGATGAAACCGGAATGCGTGGCGCAAGCACGGGGAGAACACACAAACCCCATGCAGATAGCGTCCTGGGATTATAACGGGTGTGACATTTTTTTTTTTTTTTTTTAAACTACTTGCCCAAGGGCTAAAGTGGGGGCCCAATCTACCTGTCCCTCATGACAATCTACTTGCCCCAATAGAAAAAATTGTTTCAATCAAAACCGCTAAGAAGCGCTTCTCATTGGTCAGCAGTACGGGGTACAGATTGTACACTCGCACTGTCGGAGGGAAAGGACTGTACACGAAAGGCAAGTAGAGTGGGGGGTGAGAGTAGAGGAGGGGCCAGATTTGATCGGGTAATTCCATTTTCCCAAATTACCTAAGAAAGTAAACTTACCCTTTAATGCACATTGTGCGTGTATTATTATACAGGATTTATATAGCGCCAACAGTTTGCTCAGCGCTTTACAATATAAGGAAGACATTACAATCACAATACAATTCAAGACCAGATGGTAAGCAGGGCCTGCGTGTAAGAGAGTTCTGCTGCCTGGCTACCACAATATGGGACTCAGTGGAATGGGGGCAGCACTCAGCGCGCGTACACAATGTCCTACGCGTGCGTTTATTTGCATGCGGATAGTGGGGGTGACAGGGTTGGTTTTAATTTTTTTATTATTTTCTATTTTATTTTTTACCACTTATTTTTTAAAATATTTATATATTTTATTTTTTTCGAACCTTAAAATTTTTTTTTTTTTACATTTTACATAATTTTTTACTTCTCAATTAATTTTATTTCTATGTGACAGTTTGGAGGCGACAGGTCCTCTTTATACAACCTGCCCTCCAACACAGAACAGATGTTCTGGGCAGTTTCTGACAGCTGAGACAGTTGGCACTGTGATTACAGCGCTCCGGTCTCACTGACCAGAGAGCGGAGAATGGACGTTCTTCGATCTGCTCCCCACTCATTTGCCGTGGTCCCGTGTCCCCCAGAAGTGCAGGGGACCCCAAAAACCACGACAGAGAGGGAGGGGACAGACAGGCTGGTACAAGTGATCTGATCAGATCACTTGTATAAAACATGCATCAGCTCCCCGTTGTACATTTAGCCCTGCTTGCCCGATGCAGGGCTAAATGTAGAAAAAACCTATCCACCCGGCTCCCGGAACTGCATGTCCGGGGGCATCGGGCGATAGGATTTCCACACCCCTGTGTTAACCTAAATGTAGTTCCAGATGTCCAACCTAATAAGGTCAGACAACAAAGCAATGTGGCTTGTGGTTTTTGCAGACATTTTCACTGGCAAGATTACATTAGAAAGATTCAAACATGTTCTGAATTCTTAAAATGTAAAAAGTCATCTCTGGATACATGAGAAGGTAATAGGAAAGGGGGGGGGGGGGAAAAGGTAGTGTAGACAGAGGTTTAGAGACCGTTTTTAATGTCAAAACTTCTTTTGCACCTCTGTACGTTCGTTGTAGTTGTTTGGATCCAATGTTTTTTTTTCCCTTTTATTTAACAGAATCCTTGTGGATTTACTAAAGATGAATGTGGCTCCTTTGGCTGTTTTTCAAATGCTGAAGTCAATGTGTGCTGGACACAGACTCACAGATTCTGTGTCTAGTGAGACAAGTTCTCCATCGATACAGGCAACACATACAGAAACCAGAGGTATGAAAGGTAACGTTGATGGTATCTTGTAGGAACGGTATATTGTTAATCTGTAGAGTCTATACTGTGCAGGTAATTATGACCATAAAACTGTTTTTTTTTGTTAGAGAAAGGCCTTTTATGCTTTTTATAATTTGGGCACTTATGTAATGAGGTTCCCCATACACATGGGTTTACCACCCGTACCCTTCTCTCATCCAGGGTGCTAGACTTTACAGCACACACAAAATGTCAAGTAGCATTTCATTAATGTGCTGGGTTCCCCATCTTGAAAGTTCTGTCTCTTCCCCACTGTGTCATGCCCAGTACAGAAATCTGCAGGCTGGATTAGACCAACTGGCTGCTGGTGTTTGCACTGATTGGTATAAACCATTGGCAAGGTACATGCAGAGTGAGCTTCTGATGACAAAATATATAAGCTGAGGTCTGTTCAGTGACAGCTACCTGTTGAGTAGATCAATTCTCTTTCCAACTTTTGCGCCCGTTATTAGTCTGAGGTTCCCCCTAGCACATTAAATAACCAATATGGAATCTGGGGTCCAACTCTGCTTAAGAAAAGCCAAGATTTGTGTAGAACATCAGCTGCTTATGTCTGAATCCAAATATTGTTTTACATGTGGTTGTTACTGAAGATAAGCACTACTCAATTTGAATTGCTCAGGTTCATGATGGGTGCTGTTTAAAATAAACCTGTCACTTTAAGGCTTTCAGCAATAAAATGGAGTACTCTACTCTGGAACAACTGGATTTTGTACAGCAGTTTGACATTTTTGAGTGTAGAGCAGCTCCAGGGTCAAAAGCACATTTCACAATAAAGTTTTATACTGGGTCACACTGGTACACTGGATTATTCGGATAAAAACACATTTAATGAATAAAAAAAAAAAAAATTGCTCTTAAGATAACTTGGTCAGGTCATATCACCAGGCAAACTCCCAATGGAACGGCAGGTCACACCAACAGGATGTTGACAAACACTTTAGTTAGGTAGCCAGCAACAGGAGTGAGCAAAAATGGTAATCTCTGGAGAGAGCAACGTGAAAACTATGCAATGGATGGACAATAAATGTGCAAGCATGTCCCCAAAGTAAGAAAAAGAGACAAGTACACTGGAATAAAGAGAGTACCCCCACAAATGTGTTTCAGGACCCATGCCCTTTCATCAGACTCTGATGAAGGGTGTTGCATCTCTCCTGTTGCCAGCTACCTAGCAAAGGTGTTTGTCAGTGTCCTGTTGGTGTCACCTGACGCTCCATAACTTGATCAGGGTGAAAAGCCCTGATCAAGTTATCTTAAGTGCAATTATATATATATATAATTTTTTTTTATTCATTAAAAGGTGTTTTTCTTTGCATAGCCCAGATTTAAACACAAG